AATAGACATAGTTGTCACGTTTGCTCGAGTGTATGTAGGAAAAACCAGAGACAAATGTAACACGGAAAAATACAACGAATGTAACAAATGTTGTAAAAAAAATATCAATTAACCAATAATTCTTCTATCTTTGTTTCTCAATCACATTCCTCCTTCACCTCAGTTATTGATAATAATACGTATAAACAAGCAATTCTTTGAATTCTATTGTTTTATTAAAATATAACATCAAAAATAAGTTTTTAATATCAGTTTCAATTGTATACCTTTTTATTTTAATTACGTAAAATTCTCCGGATGTTTATATATACATTGTATTAAATAGACATTAAACTTGAAAATAGACATGAAATTTATTATTATTTATTATTATTATTGGAAATTTATTATTATTGGTTATAGGTTAGATTAGCATGTAATAATATGTTAATGAGAGGTAATAGGGAGCAAAGAAAGAAGAATATAGAAAAGTTGAATGGGAATAAAAATAACAAGATTTATTTATTGTTATTTATTATTCTTGTTCCCATTCGACTTTTTTGCTCTTTCTTCTTTGCTTTACTAGTCTACATATGTTGCTTTAATATGGAATTAATGTTTTTAGAATGTCAATCATTCATAAAAACAAACATCGTGGGTGAGTTTTTGTGAAAATATAAATTAGCTGCAAAAACAATATAAATAAATACAAAAATAATATAATAATAACAACAGAATAAATAAAAATCCTTCTAAAAGTCTCTTCTATTAATTTATTTTTAAAGTTTTATTTTTAAAGTTAAACATGTTACAGCTCTATCCCATTTCATCGCGTATTACTTTTGTCCTTAGAAATATAGGAACAAAATAATAAATGACTTATCTTTAAAAGATTTATTTGAAAAAATTGATGATGTTGCTAGTTTTTCAACTAGATTATTGTCTAATAACATAGGTTTACTGCCGTGTAGGACACGTTTAGAAATTCTATATAACTATATAACTTAGAAGTTATAAAATCAAAAAGCAAATTTGTTATATTCGTTCCTGATCTCCCAGCTTTTATAATGTGAACGTGAAAAGTGAACGCATCCTTTCAAGACCAAAAAATCATTTCAACGCGCAATTTAAAGGATTACATACATAATATACAAATTTACACAAAATTTACACAAACATTGAAGATCCAGCCAGATCATTAAAGGCATTTAGTTCTTATTGGTTGTGTTTCACATGTACGATCCTATGAGATTTAATATTATTAATTATAATGTTATATATTTTAAAATATGTGAGCCTCAAAAAAAACTTCTTTAAAAGAGAAAAAATATATTTGCCCGAAATCGCCCGGGGTCGCCTGGAGACGCGTCGTTGTCCAGTGTTATTGTCGTCGTTTACACGACTTGATTGAAGGGAGCGTTTACATTAATCGTAATCGTATACCGTATGCTATAATCTGTAAAAATTGACCAATCATCTTCAAGTATTCCCTTCTTATCGCCAAATAAGAGGGAAATACTTGACTATGATTAGTCAATTCTTACAGATTACGGCATACGGCCAATATAAACGCTCCTTTACATCAAAATTATAACATCGAAACTGTTATGAAATTGACCAATCACAGTCATTCCATTCTTCAGAATAGCTACATGATTGGCTAATTTTTCATAATATCGATATATAACTTAGGCATAAATTGAGTCATACAAATGTAATCATAATTATAATATCTAGCGTGGGTACATCTTCATTTTCCTATATAAATTTCTCAGTAACTTTTTTCAGTGTATGATCATGGAGTAAAAGGTTGTACATCTTTTTTTTTTAATGAGTTTCGGAATGCAGCTTACTAAGCGGTTAGTTTTTATTTATGAAGTGATAATTAAATAAGCAATCGCTCGGTGTTGCATTTAGAAATTCATCGAAAAATGTTGCAATCTTTGAGTCAATGAATATACAAACAAATTTATCACAAATATTATGTTTTACTATTTGCAAAATATTTTACGTTTACAAACGTTGCCTGTACGTTAAATGTACAGAAGTGTTCCAGTTTGATAGAAGCAAATTTACCACGGGACTTTTCAATGTTTATGGTTCATTAATTTTCATGTGATTTTTTTTCTCTCAATCGCTTTGAATTATTTTCATCTATGAATTATGATCGAAAATGGATTTTACCTAGAATAGAAAATTACTTGAAACTTTTAATGCCTGGCACGTTTAAATGCGCAATAAAATTAACTAGCTCGTGTGTGTCCTGTCTAGTAGTATTTTACCCGGTTTTACAGACTGCGAACTTCCATTCACTAAAATGTGAAAATGGATACTCGCCAATTTCGTTTCAACGTAAAATATTTTTTTGCTGAGATACGTCTTCTGATCGACTCCATAGGACATTTCTCTACGGTATATCCTTTTTGCGAGCAAATATCACATTGGTTTATGGACAGAAAGATGAAAAACAAGCTGTTGAACTAGAGTAGTAACATATGGAAAAATAGTTTGGAAATGGATATATATTTTTAATTTTTTATATTATTCTCTGTTATATATTATTACATTTTTATGCATTTTCTACATTAAAATACGTAAAAATATATATGTAAAGTCAGTTTACATAATGTCGCCGTATTTCTGATGCATATACTTTTCGATTTATAAATATCAAAATGTTTTATGCATCGCGGTACTCTTTATTCGACACATATTTTTTTCTCTATCGTATCCTGGAGCATAACAAAGGAATAAAAAAATATATGGTTATCAAGGGGATTTAATCATCTTTAGAGTCTACGATTAATTCCGGTCACGAGCCCTACAATCATCTCGCCGTACAGTTGTCGGATTATTCTGGCTGACGGGGCTTCTTGAGGTTTTCAGGAGGTCGGATGGAAATACGTACGATAGTTACCGCACGTTATTGACGTGCCATAGTTACTGACCGTCGCGCGCATACGTGTATGTATATTTGTCGCAATTACTGGTCGTTGCAAATTTCAGTTATTGTTCGTTATAATTAAGCATCTGGCACGTACTAATAGTTGTTGACATTGAGTGATTCAGTGACGTCACAAATTTTACAATGCTTAATTTGACATAAGTGGATGCATTTCCCACATCTCGCACGAAATGTTCGTAATTAATGGCAAAGCCGGGAATATATTCATTGTTTAAACTTTTCTAAGTCGATATCGCACGATAAAGTGATTCGCGCGTATTAGCGTGAAAATATGGATTTTACGGTAAAATAATTAATACGAAGATATTTAGGATGCAGAGAAGTACGAATTCTGCAGAAATAAAAGTCTAACCAATAGAAATATGAGATATACATATTGTTATTTGTAGAAACACAAGAATAACAAGGGCACATTTACTATATTTAGATATAGTGATTTTTTTTTACAACGAATCTATTTGTAAAAATATCAGACACGTAAAAAATATATATTGTAATAAAATTATTACTTTACAAAATATTTAGACATAATATCTATTATGTAAGTATAATATCTATTTCAATAGAGAGGATTATTTTATATAATAAATCCAGCAGAAACTATTTTTATAAAAACAGCATCTGGAAATTTGACCGTATTTTTGTAAAAATATGAAGGTTTTATTTGCATATAAATCTGCAAGTCATATGCGGAGAAAAAAGAAAGTTGTACACAATTATATGCATTACGTGATAACTATTATAATATGATCGCGATAAAATTTGTAAGTATTGGAATATTATTTTACATCAGCAGGAAATAAAAGAAAAAAGATTAAGTAAATCGACTCACGCTTCATTTATTTATCACTTTTAAAAAATATATACATTTTTACAAAAGGCATAGGTATTAAATCATGCAAAATATTTCAAGCACCTAGAACATACTTACATCCTTTGTTTGCAGGGTTAATGTTTTCAAATAGCTATGTATGCAGAATTACGATACGAGCAATTAATGTAATAACGAGCACTATGTGGACTGAGGAACGAGCAGTAGTTACCGCGGCGTTACTGTTTGTATTCTACGGTCTACGGATGCGTATCAGTAGTTACGGATCGCTATGTTGGACAGTAGTTTCTAACCGTTATGAACGAGCAGTCATTACTGTTCATTATATATGGACAGTAGTCACAGACTGTTATGACTAACAATTGTGACAGGTGCGTTGGCAATCTGTATTCCAATTACTGCATCATATAAAAACCGCAGTAGCAAAACACTCAATTTTATCAGCTAGAAAAGCGAATAGATGTGATGAATATAACTACCGGTGTTTTAAAAATAATACACAAGATATTTTAATAATCATAACACATATTTTTTGCACGTTCTATTTTTATACGACCTTTTTCGCTTTATTACATTGAATTTTGAGCATGCTTTTCGAATAAATAGGAGTTAATTTTTCATCAATATGCATATATGAATTCAATATAAATGAATTCTGTATACATAGTTTTAAAATTCTTACATTATGCTATTTTTTATTCTTGAAATTATGAAAATATTTTGTTTTACAATATTAAAATCAATGCTTTCTTTCATGTTTGAAATAGTTAATACAGATGTTAAAATTCCACATTAAGCTTATAAAGATGAAAAAATCATTTATGCAATCTGTGATAAAAATAAGATTTAACTAAGAATTTTACTTGATTATCCAAAAAAACACTGAATAAAAATTTATTGAATTTTATTAAATATTTGTTTGAATAGTACTAACGAAATATTTACTAAATCTATAT